TACAACCATCAAATAACTTTTGATAATAATAAAACGCAAAGCGGTAAAAATGGCAGACCAACATGTGGAATGTCCCTTCTAGGAAAACTACATCGTTCCTCGAAAAGAATTTATCTAAATCGAAATCAGCCCCTCCACGACGATTCTGCCAACTGACCAATCAGGAGGCAGCTGGGTGTGAATCATTTCTGACCCCAAAGGTTCCGTATACCAATATGAAAAAATAAATATAAACCGATGGCTTATTTTCCTCAATATACCAGTGAGAGGAAATTGAGGCATATCAGCAACGAGAATCATGGTCATTGGTTCGTTACACTAAATTTGTTAATTTCTTCACTAACCTCACACCACACAATGGGAGGTTACTTAAAACCTTCATCCCAAGTTCTCTTACATTGTTTTATGAATAAATTATAGTTAATTATAAAGAAAAATAGAGGTTTGTCTTCCATAGTAAGTGGGAGAACTTCAAACCAAAGAAATAGGTGTTAAACGAGTGCAATGATGGAATGCAATAATTCTTGTCTAACTATTAATCTAATAATTTATAGCAGAACAAAATAATCAGTTATTAAGTTAATTGTTACTTTAATAGTCGTTATTAAGTATAAAGCTTAGTAATTGGTATATGATGAATAGATTTTCCTAATAGTAACACATTCTTCATAAGAATTAAAATGTTTCGCGAATATCGCTTTATTTTAAATCTATTAGAGTACTGATATCTAATTAACTGATAAACTAATATATATAATTTCTATGTTTAAATATATTCAGATTTATAATATAAAACCAAAAATATAAATTACTTGTACCATAATAAACGAAATTATTTTATTTTTTTTTTAAAACCTTCTAATTAATATAACTGGGATAAAAGGCCCAAAAGAAGCCTACGCTGGCCCACGCTGATCTAATTTCCAAGGATCGAAGCCTCACATCCAACCTCAAAGGACTTATCCTAAGGGACCGAGGATGAATTTGTGGTAATTTCTTATCCAGGGCCTTCCTTAGCGAGCACCTTTCAAAAGGCTTCAGGATCCTTCTGTGAATAGCAGCTGCGAGGGTCGCTCTCTTCACAGCAGTCGTACGTGCTTCGGTGAAATCGATGTTTTTCCAACTTCAAATGAGGTACTTTCGCTTTCAGCACTCTGCAATTGATAAGTCTTTCATTTCATTTATCCCTATGACGTAGTTGATATATAATGGGAAATACTAAAAAAAAAAAAGATTTGAAGATTATTCTTTCTATAGAATCATCCTATAAAATTCTAGATAAATAAAAGTTTCACAAAAAAAAATTTATAACAAAATCTATGTTAATTTAAAATATTAATATAAACGTCAGTTGATATTTCTATTAAAATAAAACTATCTGCTTAGGCTAGCAAATTCGCAAAAATGGTGACCGTAACAAATCCCATCAAATAACCTTTAATCTTCATCGTAAACCTCTGGTATCCTATCATAAAGGATCCTTCAATAATACCCCGTTTCTCCCCGTTGAACAGATCCCCTACCTGAGATTCCATCTTAACAAACTTCTTACCTGGAATCCTCATACAAGATTGAACCGACAAGAAACTGCTAGACGTTTCCGGCTACATCAACGCTTACTAGAAAATGATCAAAACTTCCAAATAACCATAAAAGCCTTAGTTATTTGATTATTTATAAGGCATATTCGGACTAATGGAGTTCAGTTTTGAGGTTACTCAAAAACATCAAAATCCTCTCGTATCATAATCATAACAATTCAAAATCCTCAATGCTCCATACTTCTGCCCATTCTTCCACATTGAACTTCAGACACATTCAAACCCAATATTTTTTAAACTATTTTAAACTCATATATGCCCGACAATACTCCTAGGCGTCTGAAAATAAGATGGCCCCGAGACCTTCTAATATAGAAGTATAATTGGAGTACTACCAATGGACAATTTTTCTACAAGTCAGTCCGAGTCAAGTTAGCAATTCACATTTACTTGTATTTTTAGTTATTACGGTTGTAAATTTCATTTACAATATTACAATCAAGTAATATAAACATAAAATAAAGGCATATAATAAAGAAAGCATTATAGGGCTAAAACGAGGGACTTTAATTAGGTCAGAGCAATACGGCAGCCCTTATCGTGGATATTGCACTGAGTAGAAAAGTATTGTGAGGGTGGTTCAGAATTCCCTAGTTGTAGTATTCTTGGCCTCCCTTAACTTCATCGATTGGTCAGAATAATGAAGACTATTCACTGAATTAGGGCTTCATTTTTGGCTGACATATACTGATATACATAATTAAAAAAGTCAGGTTTAGAAAGCCGAACTTCATAAAATATAAAAGCATCCAACGAAGTATAATGTGACAGCTATACTAAACTTTCTTCCATTATTTAAGTGCAAAGTTTATTTACATTTCTTATGTTTGTTTTTTTTTTGTTTAATTTATATCACTAATACTGATAATGCTGTACATGGGAGAGAAGTATCTATTGGTGTCGAGCTAATATATTTGTTCTTCTCAACTCCACTCCTAAGATTCCAACGTTCCTACTTGAATATTCCTCCTGGTAAAACAGCTTCGTTAAGGAAATCTTTCAAGTCATTCATATCCGTTAATGTTTCAAGCTTTAATTTACCAAGTTTAAATTTTGCAGCTATCCTTCTCTATTATACAAAAAAATAAATTAGTGACCGTGCAATATTTTACATATGGGTGGAATGTCAGCAGGGTTCAGGATACTGCACCCTAATCGCATCACTCAGATAAGATTTTTTTAAACTGTTTAGGATGTAAGTTTACAACTATTATCTTCTTTAAATATTTCTGTCTTCTGTACACCTTTTTCATTCGTATAATTTGTGAAATTGGGGGTTGGTACCTAGTTATCAGTATATTTTTTCTTCTCATAACATAGCCGTTCTACAATTTGCAAATATTAGAACTTAGACGCAACCATACTAACACAAATTATGTTTTTTCCGATAAAAAACAAAATAAATTGTAAGAAAAATATTTTTTACAATTTGTTTCCGTTTTGATATGATGGCTACTATATAAATGGACATTCTGAGTTAGGGCCTAGAAACAAAGCGCTATCAACAGCTGTTGCGCGTGAAACGCAATTTGCCCTTCCAATTTTTCATCCGGATGATCTGGGTGATATAAGCCGGTGCTCCATCAGCAGCACTTAGTAAACCCCTTCTCCCTCGCCCCTCAACTTACTATCCCCTAGTAGATTGAGATAGATAGATATATTTATTTATCTCCGGGATCTCCTCGTACAAACATGGCTAACCATGACTTTACATTAGTTAAACAAAAATCAGTTTATATATTCTCTTCACGGAATCAGTATTTGTATTATCGATTTACTCAATATTATATTATATAATTCAGGATCATTACTGTTACCTTATAATATACTACTGCATTTATTTTATTTTTTATTATTATTTTATCAATCGATTTTCTGGCAAGTTAAGAGAAAAAAAAACACCCTGCAACACTTACAACCATGAAGGGTCTTGGGTACAATGTGAGGAAGTACTGTTACAAGGCCAACGGTTGTGCAGCGAGGTGATGGGCCAATATCACGCTCAACCGCTAGGTTTTACCCCATAATTAATTATTTAATTAAGAGTACCCACTTCATAGAGGCTGGGTTTGCCCTAGGAGAGTATCTCGGCCCCAAGGTCGACTCAAGGCTACGAAAAATTACTTGACTTCAGTCGGATTCGTACGTGGGACCCTGAGCTTTGGAGGTCAGTGCTCACTTACCCCGCTCCCTTAAGAGGAATAAAGTTATAAATAAAATTAAGAGATAAATGGAATAACTTTTTATATTGCTAAAATTTGATTAATTCATTCTTTTGAATACGTTTAATTTTTTTTTTCTTTAAAAACTGATGATTTTATATACACAATTAGTAGATAGAAAAGAGTGGTGTAAATAACTCCTAGGAATTCATTTCTTTTTAGAAACAAAGTTTTATGAAATGTTAATTAAAATATTTTTGGTATGAAGTAATTTTTTTTTTCTAACGATACAGTAATATTTTATTTAATTCTAAACTATACTTACAATAACTTACTGGTGTTTTTCTATTTAACGATAAATTAGGTAAAATCATGAATAAAATTAGGACTATTTAATTTTTAATATTTCAAATATCCAGAAATCGATATTTTTGTTTAAACAAAAAAAAAAAAAAAAAGCATCTAGCGGAACACTCTAAAAGATCATTTCAAATATAATTAAAAATTCTTTCAAATTATGAGGCATACCGCTTTAGAACAGATTATGAAAACATTCAAGTTACCTAGAATGCACCCGTACTGTATTCAACTCAATTCATTCATAATCACAATAATAAATATTAATACAAGAAATAAAGTCTGAATGAATAATAAACATTATAAAAAAATAAGGAAAAACCAATATCCATAGCAAAACAAAGTGGATAATAACAAAAACAACATAAATCTCTTTAAAAGAATATATGATGTAATGTAAACATTGATCACATCGGGTGAGGAAAAGATGGTCGAAAAGGGTGAATTAAAATGAGGAAACCAAGGATGATTTGAGTGATAAATTAATCAAACCAATGCAATAGAAAAAAAAAAAATTTACATTCGACTTAGCCATTAATGCGATAAAGATAATCGTGTGAGTGAACACGCCAGATATTATCGATGTACGGGTATTTGGAAATAATATATAATTGTTTAATAATTTCTATCTTTCGTTCATTCTATCATGATCATGGTTAATAAATGTTTTCGGCGTCATATCTCTCGAAATCTCCGAGAATCACACCGCACACTATGTAATTGTGAGCATCGTTGTAAGTGAATAGATAATAAAATAATTCAGCACTCATGCTCAATTTGGTAATGACATAAATATGTTGCTAAGGTCGGTGAATTTACGTAGAGTTAGTGCTATAAGTCAACTGCATCTAGACAATGTCCTTTATTGTTCGCCGGACGAATGGTCTGCCGCGGCGGGCGTATTGTGTTCCTCCGGCACGCGAGGCGCATTAACAACGGCCCAGGTCTACGGCAACTCAACTCCGCCTGGAATGTGCCCTTCGATACAACTCATTTTCCAGTTCGTCGTATTATAAGTTACTACAGTGATACAGTAATTATAGTCAATGATAAATGTTTATAGTTTATTCGATACTGAAGGCGCAAATATATCGTCCACTTAAAAGAAGATTGTCATAATAAGAAAAATGGAATTTTACAGGCAAATTATTTAAAGTTTACTTATGGTTATCATCATGTTATTGTAACAAATGTTAACTTGCTCAAGGTTGCACATTCGTGACTTTAACATGGTGCCGACGTAATTAATGGTTATCACAGTTGCATAATTTCTTTTTTCTAAATAGGTTGTTGGACTATAATTAACTAATCTAACTGAACTGATGTAATTATACAAAAAATCTTATAAAATTCAATAAACAGATGTTGTACAGCACAAGTGTATCCAGAAGGGGGTTTCATTGGGCATGTTGTGCCATCAAAATTTTTGAGTGGGGCATATTTCGAGGGGGTTATGAATTTTCGGACTAATGGACAAGGGAAAAACATAGAACAGACCACAGCAAGTGTAATTGTATATGATATACGATTTTTCTAATTCTACCTTAGCTTCCTCTGTTTTTAAAAGATAAGATATAAAATATCATGGGGAGATAGGTTCTTGCGTCAAGGGGGAGGGGGAGGGGTGAGAGGGGGTCATCTATGGTTCACCAGTATATTTTTTTCTCTTCTTGCTGAATAAAATATAAAAATTAGCACAACATAAGAAAAATTAAATAATCTATAAAATTAATAAAAACCTAACAACTAAATACCCATCTAAATACATTGAATACAAAACTAATTCCCACCTAATTTATGGTGGTATCCTCCACTTCTCCTAGTCAGATTAAGACTTATAATAAAAATTAAACTATGGTCCAGATGGGCAACCACTATCCCTTATGTCTTCGTTGACTGCTACTAATGTAATCAGAGCAGAATCCTCAACTTGAGTGTTTTGGACATTCGGGTATAGGACTTTATTTACTTTTCATTTTTTTTTTTTTTTTTCTTTTGAAGAAAATCAATTCTTCAAGCATTAGAAATAGCGCGTATGAGTTTTAAGAAACTACTTTAAAGTGGGCACGAATAATTTTCAAAATGTTTGACAAAGCTAAAAGTCGAATTCCATACAAATAACTTGCTGAAGAATGGAGAAACCAACAAAATTCTTATATGCAAGATTCGAACCCTGTGAACATAATTCATTATTGAATTCATATGCGACGAACAGTGGGAAGAGTAAGGGAAAACTAGCAACATAGGCTAAATCTATTATTTATTTATTTTTTAAACTAAACTATTCAATAATAAAAGTTAAAAATGTATATTCAGCCAACTGAAAATATTCTCGGGAACTCCGTAAGGTATCATTAAAACAGTTTATATAGTTTTTGGAGTTCTAAAAAAAAAAGAAAATATATTAAGCCGATTTCGCGAGTTTTGTTTTACTCCTCCCACTGTGCGATGGTTTGGGCATTTAAGTAAATGTATGTTGAGGAAATGTTCAGGGATTTCTGTTGTTATAGAATCATTTTTTTTTTTTTTTTACATATTTCGAAATTATAATTAATTTTTATCGTAAATCAAATCAACTACAGCATTAACGAAATGTGATCGCTTCCATAAACAGGCAGAATAGAAACAGCCGCCGGCTGAAAAGTAGGGTAGACAACAGGCTCGGGTCCCAACAATTGACTTATAGCCCTGTTGTAACCCTCTCAACGGAAGCTTCTAGCTCCAAGTCCCTACTTCGTCCTAGCATGCAAATTGACTTAAACTAACTCTCAACCCGACTACATTTGATCAAAATACAACGGATAGAAAAAAACAACAAACATAAATGCAAATTAAAAGGTTTTAAATAAAACAGTATAAGACTATTTAAAGACAGAGCTAAATAAAATAGTTAAACGGAACTAGTTCATCTCAAGGAGTATTGAAAAAAATAAATAAAAATATTAAAATAATAGTAACTCCCAGCAGTCCCAGATGGAATCCTTGAGGAAGACCTACAACGTAGGTCGAAACGTTGGAAAATACAATTAAAAAAATACTATTATATATTGATCGCACTCCCGACCAACTTCTTCTGAAATAATAGTAAAATTTTAGACTTTCTTTTTATTAACACAACTTTCAGACTTTTGGCCACTTGAGCCTACTTTCTTCACATCACCCTATTTTCCAGTAATTATTCCAGAGCTTATTGCTTTGCTTTCCAGTTTGCTGTATGCAGTTCTGTAGCAACAGTGTGTCCAATTGGTTTTTGGTGTCCTACGAGGATCTCTGGCTAATGAAGCATTAATTGACATCCATCTTTATCTCATTGCTATTATATCATAAGGTATTGATTAACCAGATAAGCAGTTCTTTATTAGACCTCCTCCGACATGCCTTAATATTATGATCTATGATTCCTTCGGTTATCTTACGGAGTATTTTCCTCTATAATCTATAAATACTTCTTCAAAGGATGCTGCTCAGTTTCAAGCTACTTATATAGGAAATCTTAGTTTATTTTACAAGAAAAATAAAGTCTTAGGAAATAATATTTGATGATAACTATTTTAAGTAAGGCGTGATGTGTTTATCCTTTATTTATTCGTGTTAGTAGTCTCTACTCTAGGAGCAATACAACAACACATGAACAATACAACAACACAGGAAACAGCTTAAAGAAAGAATTTTATGGGCGTAGATAATATATTACAAACCTAAATATAATTAGCAATTTTTTTTTTTTATATACGTTGATATTTTTAACGTGTACTAATTCGTAAACTGAGTGTTAGATATCACTAAATTATTTATCCAAACATAAGATTGTATTAAACTATTAAAATGTCTGCTATAAGGGCTGCAATTGCGAAAATCTAATGAGCTATAGAACGTATGCAGTAGAATATTGAATGTATAACGACTGAGCTATTTTTTGTTCTAGCTTTGAAGAGGGTCCCATTGTTAACTTATAAAAAAACCGGGATCGAAACGTCTAATAAACACAGAAGCAATGAACAGAAGAATAATTAATAAGTGACCTTATTCCCAATTAAATAATTATGTTTAAATATAATGCTCAAAGGTCGATTGAAGAAAAGTTGTAAAAAAATACACACACACACACATAAATATATATATATGTATACCATGAAAATGGTAGAAGAAAAACTGAATATGAATACCAATTTGAGATCCACAAATACAAATATAGGACACTGCCACAAATACAAAACTGTTATTTAAAGGGGATAACTTTTATTTTTGAATCGAGACTAGCAATCGGAGAAAACATACCGAACGGGGCAACACAAATTACGTGGGAATCCGCCACAGATTGAAAAAAGTTGCCGGCTGTAGACCCAGCTAATCCTTCACTGGAAGAGCAGCTCCGTTTTTTCACCCCAGGGTTCAGGCCATGATACACATTCTCTCAGGCCTTTTTTAGATATTCCTAAATAAATAGAGGTATGTGAGTTGTGTTGTTGCACAACTAATATTACGAAAATGTAAAAATTAAACCTCAATTCTCACGCTCATTAAATAGAACAATAAAATAAATATACATACATAATATCTCGAAATCCATAAACTTAATAATAACAATGGTTTTAGGTCCAATTTTTAAAATAATATCAATTGACGGATAAACAACGTTTTAAAACTATCAGTCGTTTTTCCGGGCTTGAAGAAATTCTCAACTGTTGTAATATTCTTATCAGCAACGGATGGCCAACTTTCACAAATTCCAAATGGCCGAAACTGGATTTTAGCTGCTTCTAACTTTGGAAGCTCAACAACTGCATGGAACTGAAAACTTATCAGTGACGATTCAACTGATAATGAATCAAGTTACCTAAAAATACTTAAGAACAAGAGACCGTCAAATAAATTCAATAACAAATTGATTACAAAAAACATGTACAATGATGGTCAAACACGTTAGATCGTTTGTCGCAGAGGTCTCGGTTAGTAGCAGTTTAATCCCCAATTTTTTTTTCCCGATTACTCCCAAGCTCCCTATTTCTGGAGGAATTACTATTATATATAATTATGGAGGAACAACCAAACCAATTTTAACCAGAGTGGGAAGGTCAAGATTTATTTCGCGGATGAGACACGAAATAAATATCAACCTGTCCAGGCCGGATTCGAAAAGGCGCCATGGGAATCACGCCCTCAGCCAGTTCTAATCTAGAAAAGGAAGACGGAGACATCTCAGGACCCGTCGGGTATTGGCAAGATGGACGAATCCCACTTGCCTTAGTAGTATTCTTCTTAAGAAGGATAAACCGTCATTTCTCCGTACTTGGAAAACGAAGACATTTAACCGAATTAATGCAACAAACATAATTCTTTCTTATTTACATAATTATAAAAGTAAATACTTATTTAATGATGAAGTGAATAATTGGGTATGAAAATAAGAATAATTTTGTAAGCTATACGGAAATTTTATTTATTTTACAGAAAAGTTTTCTGATCAACATTTTAGTCCCTATGTATTTCTATAATTTATATCTTATAAAGTGTCCTTTATATATATTATCATATACATAAAGATACATAGGATTTAGGATTCAATATTTGTTCCACAGTTTCACTAACATTCCATATTCTGAAAGGCATTATTTCTTGAAGAACGGTATCAGAAATAGAAGTAGGAAAGTTCTAATAATAGAAACAGGAACATGATGAATCCTCAGAGATATTTGGCCAGCAGGCAATATTTACCATGGGAGCAGTTAAAGCCACCCCTCGGAGAGTATTATCGAATTAACACCACCGATAGAGACTTAAGCGATAATGGCTCAAGTTGGTGGCTTACAGCGGCCCAATCTACATTATTTGTAATTAAAGTAACCCCTAAGTGGATCAACTCTAATTCTATTTCCGAGCTCATCGAGTTAGGTCAGAATCGAAATCAGTTTAAGTTCCGCCCGGTATCTGACTATAACCCTTCGGATAGGCGGGGTCACAGCGGATAACAATAGGCCGCATAAAATTATCGTTCGCTTTGATAACCGGCGAGCCCCAGAATGCCAACAGTGCCTAGTTGCTGTTATTAACTGATAATTCATACAGGAATTATAGAACTAATGATTATCATATCACATATATGATAATTATTTTCTTTACATGTCAGAATAATAATTCCAATTAGTTAATATTTTTCTTTCACTCAGTTAACATGGAGTGGGGTGATAAAGAAAACCAAATAGCTGTGATCGCCTTACACAAAAAATGTAGACCAGATATGTTCATCACTTTGAAACCTTTGGGTATCAGCCGTTCGTGTTCGTGTATCTCACTATGAATAGATATAATGAGAACAGCAAATGTAGTGAGAGCTGTGGCTGCTCGAGTCAGCAGAAATCCCATTCGAAAACAATAAATCATGTCACGGGAAATGGAAATTTCTGTCAGATCAATGTCTCGCATAATAAACATTGACCGTAGGATGAGTGCATTTTAAAGAATTACAGGATAAAGACTAACTACTTCCTTAAAACAGATTTGAGTGGATAGAAACAAAGTGCTCCTTAGCTGTTAGACCAACGGTCTTCATCGAAAGATTTTCTTTAGAAATGAGAAAATTTTTACAATTGAAGAAAAATTTAATCACCAAAATGATCGTGTGTACGTACACAGCTCTAAAGAACCTCAGGAAGCTAAGGGAAGATGGAAAGAGGTCATCACCCACCCTTCCTCAGTGATGGTTAGGTGGAGAGTTTACTTTGATCGCAAAACTCCATGTTTGTGAAAAAGGAGTTAAAACAGACGCTAAAAACAATCAAAACGATATTTTGGAACCTGTTGCCATACCTGTAAGTGATATTCTCTTTGCTAGAAGTCATTTAGTTTTCCCGCATGATTCCGCTCCAGCTCACAAGACTAGGTCAACCCAGTAGGGGCTGCAAAAGAACATTCAAGAGTTCATCTCTGCCTCGGATTGGCCGTCAGGAAGGCCTTGATCTTAATCCACTAGATTATCGGCTTTGGTCCGAACTGGAGGGGATGGCATGCCACAGAGCACACACCTTAACCTGGAAAGAATCTAACAATATCTGGTCCAACAGTTAAGCGCATTTCTCGAGAAATGCTGCCTGCTGCTTTACTGGCCACGGAGATTAAATACCTGTTTCAAATTGAGAGCGGAACATTTTGAGTAATTTCTTTTGTTTTAATCGCTATAGATATACATTTCATTTTCTAAAATAGTTTTTGAAAAAAATATTTTTTCTGTTGTAATCTGTATATATTTCCTTGTAACAACATTTATGACAGGACTTTTTTTTTTTTTATATATATATTTTATTGAATAATAATACAATAAGCCACTGCATATGACAGGACTAGATATACGTTTCGGGGTACTGCCCCATCTTCAGGAATATTTTGTTTCCTAATGTTCCCACAATATTTTCCTATACAAGTCATCCACATTTTTTTTTTCATTTTTCTTTTTAATGAGTCAAGGTAACAATGCAACATTAGAATGTTCCAAAATAAAATAAAAGTAATTTTGTCATCGGATTGACAGCAAGCTATTGAAAAACAGTTGAGTTCAGAAGGTTTTCGTATGATCCCGTAAATAACAACAGATTACACTTTCATAATCCTTCAAATACTTTTATTTCACCTTTTTTTTTTTTTTTTTACTTAACTTAATGTAACCTAAAATTTTAAGAAAATTATTTCGAAAAAAAAATTGATTTAGTAAATATTGCAATAAAAATGGAGTTAATATTTGAAAACGGTCGATTTTATAATTCCACAAAAAATATTCAGTTTTCCAACAGCATTCGAGTCTTGTAATGAAAACATGAGAAAGAGAAAAAAACCTGAAACTGTAATAAACTAATAAACTTCTTCTTCTTTTCTCTAAATGTAAAACTTATTTAAGTAAAGTAATTACTTATTAAATCATATAGAGGTGGTTCTAACATTTATTTTTTAATTATATAAATATTATAAATATAATAAGTTTATAATATTTATAAACTGGTTAGTATCTGTATTAAAAACATTAAATTAAATTATATTACATGGAATCATACCAAAACTTTTTGGTTATTAAGAATTCTGTGTCTGATTCCATGTACTCGTATTATAATTTAATATTTTTTTAATAATAGCCTAAAAAGTTTATTGAAATGTTTTATTCAATTTAGTCCCAATGCAATGAATATAATTTTGATTTAAATTTACATTTATTATTCTGCTATTTCGAGATACACTATATATAGTATGAATAACAAGAAGGGAAAATATATTAAAGCATAAAGTTTATGGAGCAGTTGTAGGCTTAGACTGGGCCTTTGAAAAGTCTAAGCTCACCCTAATTAGTCAAGGGATGATAATTCTTTAAGCCCTTTCCCGTAGCCCCGTCTAGCTCTCCAGCTTTTCCCTTTCCTTATATAAAAATGTTCTTTTCAAAACTTTATCGAAATCCTACAACGTTTTCTCTCCAATTGTCGCTACTTATCTTAATTAAAGTGTAAGATTTCTTTACAAATTTTGCAGAAATTAGTCACAGATCCTTCACATATGGCATCAGCTTAAAAGAGATCGTTATTTCATAACATTCATATGTAGCTGTAAACTTTAGATATTTATAATATATTGATATAAGCTAACCGCAATAATAGAATCTGTGTAGAAGGGAAAACATCGAGAATAGAATTCAAATACCTTGGCTGTACAATAACTTCAATGAATGACCAACGGTCGGAAATAGACCGTAGTACTTAAACATCGAAGAAATTCAATTAAGGATGTCAATGCTACGATAAAGCCAGTTCTGATGGACGGTTGCGATACCAGGACCCTTGAAAAAAGTATTAAAAGATTTGAGAGAAAAATCCTCCGCACGATAACCGGAGCGATCTGGGTTCAGAGTACTGTAAGAAAAAACACTAATAAAGAACTGCTTAAAAACAGGTCAATCAATATATAATTATATAAAGGCAAAAAAGTTAAGATAAAGTAAATTATGAAGCCCGTACAGCAGGCTAAGGACTAGGTGCAACGCCAAAAAGCCAACAAAGATGCAATAGCCCAAGAAAAGCAAACATGAAGAAGACTGTTAAGGCGGCAAGGTATAAAACGTATGTAATAACAACAGAAGAAAAAACTGATGTAAAAAAAATTGTCGCATATTCTACAAATAAAGTATCATACAACCTAAGTTACTACCAATATGACACCAATTTATTTCGGTAACTCAGTAAATTAAAACATAAACAAACGCTAATGTTAAAATCTAAAAGCATAAAAAAAAACCTAAAAACTTTTTATGCCCTTAATTTGAATTTTTAGCCCGCTGACCGTAGTTTAGAGAAACCTACCAATAATCTTCCTGATACCTGCGATTCATGTACAATGATCCGAAAAATCATATCAATAAAGCAGTTTGTTAGAGATTAATTATGATTTTCATAAAAATTGGCTAATTACTTAGAAGCTTAGTGACAAATCTGTGCTGGATAATTAATGAATTTAGCTTTTTCCACCTCCATCAACGCTTGTGGGAATTTTATCGAAGGGTTTTTCCGTTCAATTAGCTTGAATGCATTTCCTTTCATTAAGTATTTTTATCAGTTAATTGAAATTCATTTGTTTTAGAGCTATTAATTCTTCACTGCTTTTTAAATGGAGTTAAGCTGAGCCACAATTTACCTCCGATTTTTTATTTTATATTTTGACTGAATATAATTTGATTAGAAGTTTTATATTGGTTCAGTTAAATATTTACCAATTGCTTTTTATCTCTAGAGGTTACCTTAGGCTATTATTGTAATTATTTAAATGAATTACAGTATGCATCAGAAGCTAACATAAAGGTTTCTAAGCACTCATGAAGTTAACTAACTTAATATATCCTTTACTTTTATTTTGAAATTAAAAAATATAATTAAAAAGAATAACATATTTTTTTTTTCAATTTACAGTTGTATTAACTCAAATTACATGTGAATTGGTATTACTACATGGGCAGATTTATTGAGAAACTACCCATTGGTAACACTGCTATAACAAAAAAATATAGATAGATACTAAGTGACTATCACGAATTTGCCTAGTTTGGCTGACCAATTAACTAAACTATCAATTCACAACAAATATATTCAACGATTATTTTGTTTTTTATTTTTTTATATACAGGCCTTTCAGATCATTTACCACCTTAAACAGGCTTCTCCATATCTGCCTCATAGAATTTTTTATGTAGAAATAGTTCAAAGCACGATTTTGGGAAAGATGTCTTATACAGATCATAGAGTATTTGTCAATGTTCTAGTCCTAAAAGCTTTTGGTTGACCAGATTTTTACTGCAAAAGAGGTGTTGATCCAACCATATAAATCTGTCATTTCTTTTGTAGATACCCAATCTTTGTATGATCCTGATTACTGGAATGTCTTAGTGCACTCCTGGTGATTAACTATAAACAACCTCATATTTGTCGAGGTTATTTTTGTTTTCCTTAACTTGATACTGTATAGATTTGTTTAGATGAGGGAATGCTCAATAAAAGGTATGAGTGTAAAAAGTGTCATAAATCGCACTGAATATATATATTACATTATGATAATTCGTGAGTTTTATACAAAAGTAATTGAAAGATATGAAAAATTACCGGTTAGTGTACTATTTATACAGTTTTTATTTGTGCTATTTAAGGTTCTTCATCGGTTTTTCCTATTCATTCTATACATTAATTAGTTTATTTAAAGCATCGTCCTTGACGATAAGACTTGTTTTTATTTTATATTCGGTTGAAATCATTTGTTTAATTAACGTACATGGTACAAATACTGTTTGATCCGTATAGAACTTTTTTTGCAGTTACCTCTGCTTTAATTATTAGTTACTGTGAGTGTGTTTTTTTTTTTAACGCTCGGGTGCTTTCAGGCTTTGACCAGAGCGGCTGTAAAATAGTGTATGGACAAAAGAGACGGACTGTATTTGTTTATGAGAATTAGCTCCCTGGGAATGAAATAGAGCTCGCCGATGCAGATGAATGCCAATTATGTAGGAAGGGTTTTAGATTGATCGGCCTATAATGAAAGAGATGGGATCAATGGTCCGGACCCGCCTTTTTGAGTTTCTCTTACATTTCCCTCTCCTCCCTTCAGCCAATCATCCTCTGTTTTCTCTCTGGGACCTACTTTCTGTTTGTAATCTCTTCAACAATTACAGCTTCCAGTTCAAACATTTGACTTGGAGGGTGTACTCCGAGGTTTGTTGTTCCTGTTTGGTTACTAAACACCAGTTCGTTTATGTTAGCCCCGAATTGTTGACTATAGCTCAAGGTTCTATCAATACAGAACATTTTCTCGTTACCTTTTATTTTCTATCTCCTGTAATACCTATTTATTCGACCAATATATGTTTTATATTGTTAAATAAAACATCTATTCGAAAATTTTATTTTATTGTCTAGTGGAAAATAGAATGAAAAACCTGGACACTAACCAATAACCTAGAAAAAAGTGTTGAAAGGTTCGAGAGAAACATCAAGCGCACCGGAATACTACCGGAATATACCGGAGCGAACCGGAATCACAGAACTGACATATGGAGAAGAAATACCAATGGAATACTGCTTACAGAAACTGGTCAATCAATATCCCATGATATGAATGCACGGAGGATAAGATGGGCAGGAAATGTAGTTCCTAGCAATCCGTCTGGAAGCCTCTATGAATGCTTCAATAGAAGGCAAAAGAGCAAGAGGAAGACCAAAAAGCAGATGGGTAGATAGAATAAACAAAGATGCAACAGTGCTGCGGTCAGATAAATGAAAAGAAATAGCACAAGGCGGAAAAGATCTACAAAGTCTGTAACGTCACCACAAAAAAAAAAATAGTGGAAAAAGTAATACGGTATTTTTTTATGGCATAGTTAGCAAGACTCCTGTTTAATAAGGTCATGTTTTATAACTTAAGTATAAATTTGCCTTTGATATAAGTAAGTAGATGTGGTTATATTCTGTCCAATTTACTTCACTTGCTAACTGGAACATTTGTAACAAAGAAGGGACCGAAGAAATTATTTAAGTCAAGAATACTTTGAACCA